ATCTTGGGAGAACGTTTCACGCTGACATAAAGTGGAAAAATTATATTGAATCAACTGCTAGGTCAGCTGTTTGGATATTTGTTCACTGTATCGTGCTAGATAATTTTTCTCGTCAGAATCTATGTTACGCATTTATGAGTCTACCATTCGTCCTTGCATTGAATATTGCTGCCACATCTGGTCGAATGCATGTATTTAGAGATTCTTGATAAAATACAAGGAGAAATCAGCAATGTTATTGGTCCTGACCTGGTATCCTGTCTTCAGTCACTTTGACATCATCGTAATGTAACTTCCCTCTACGTTTTCTACAAATATTCTCATGGCAATTGTTCTGATAAACTATCCTCTTTGGTACCTAGACTTTACGAATTTAAGCGTAGTACTAGAATGGCAAGTATGTCTCAACATTTTACTGTTGAAATGGCTAGAGGTAACTATAAGTTCTATTCTAACAGTTTCGTCTCTCGAACTTCACGCTTGTGGAACTCTTCCATCTTGTTTTTTCTTCAAAAATTTAAATGCAATGTTAATTGTTATCTTTTGTCTTCTTAAAATGTGTTCTGTTATTGTCCTCTCATAATGTTTTTATTTTTCTCATGTTTTTCTATACTCAGTCATGGGTCTTAGTGGTTTTATTGTATTGATTGGGGTGAAATGATTAAAAAAAAGCTCAATAAAGATAAATAAGCATTGTTTTTTAAAATTATAAACTGAATTAAATCTTCCTTAAATACGCAGCTCATCAGTGTATATCCATGTAAGATGAGTTATATATATATATATATATATATATATATATATATATAACCTAGTATATATATATATAACCTAGTGAGCGAGAACCAACCTACCTACGTAGGTTTCACCTAACGGATCATCAGGATAACTCTAGCCAGAGTTATCCTGATGATCCGTTAGTGAAACCTACGCAGTAAGGTTTCACCTCACTAATTTTTTAGACTTTGCTCTACTTAGTATATAGAGCAATTTTATACGTTTTAACTTAAAACTCTGAAATAATATATATATATATATATATATATATATATATATATATATATATATATATATATATATATATATATATATATATATATATATATATATATATATATATATATATATATATATATATATATATATATATATATATATAAAGTTTATGTTTAATTTTTTCTCCAGCGAACCTTTCTGAGGAACTGTTGGACGAAAACATTTTCTTTTTAAATGATAAATACGCTAAAAAATCAACCTTCACGGCTTAATGGTTAGAATCTCCGACTGACACCAAGTCAGGCGGGTTTCGATCCTAGCTAGAGGTAAACTGAATGTCTAGCCGCACTGTGAAACAGCGAAACAGTCTGTCTGTGGATGACACACACACACATATATATATATATATATATATATATATATATATATATATATATATATATATATATATATATATATATATATATATATATATATATATATAAAAGCTTTCATCAGAAATGAAATATGGATGACAATTATACTTGCTGTATAATATGTGTGTACGTCTACGTTTCCTATTTGATCCCAATACACAGGCATAAAACGAATCATTTAAACATAATTTATGTGTAGATTCAAAATAGGAGAAGGAAATTAGGAAGGAAGAGTAAGGAGGGAGGAAAATAGGGATATGTATTCATACATACGGATTGCCAAATAATATTATATATATATATATATAGATAGATAGATAGATAGATAGATATATATACTGTTGAGATAAAATAGTGTTCATATATATATATATATAATCTTTAAGCGCTCACTACTCTGGAAAATTTCTTACATTACTCAATAATAGATTCGATCCTCATTGGGTGCCTTGCTACTGTAGCCTTGTTCTAGACCCAGCTTACTTAAAGAGTAGCTAATGTAAGACAACAATTATGAAGTTTGTCCTATAGATTCGTTCTCTAATGCAAGAAGTTTAATCATCAGTGAATTGACAACTTTGTAAATAGCTGTAGTAACTTGTCACATCTAAATAAATCGATTTAGTAGAAAAGAAATGATGTCAATATAGATTTGAGCTATTTGGACAGCACATTCTTGTAACAGCTGCCAAGATGGTCATTTGACGTCCTGTTTACATAAAAAAGGCAATCTTCAATAACAAATAATTCAAGAACAAAATGAACGTTCTAGATTATTCCAAAGATCGGTAATCTTCTTCTTTAAGGGAAAGATAGATATACTGTTGAGATAAAATAGTGTTTATTTTCTCCGCAGAATATTGCAGGGTCAGAATTTTGAGGAATAAGTATACAGCGCAGCAGAATGTGGAACTAGCGATCTGAGTTTAAATTCCGGCCGAATCTTCAGAAAGCAATGAACTCATCTCTTCTCCTTACTACCAGCTATGGATTAAATCAGTGGTTCCCAAACGGTACAGCACGCCTCATAGGTACGACTGAAGAGGGTAGCAGGTGAGGCGGAAGAGGATAGTAGGTGAGGCGGAAGAGGGTAGCAGGTGAGGAGGAATGATTGAAAGACAATGAAAGATTTAGAAACACCTTTAAAAAATTCATATGCCAAAAATAAATATGATTTCAAAATTTTAAAATATTATTATGGATGACTTGCATGAGTCCCAGTATATATAGTTATAAATAATTATTGGTCGATTTTATCATTGTGGTATTTTTGCATTATATCACGTATTAAGAATATAGTAAATAGGCTCCGCAAATTGGAGGAGAGAGTTATCAATGATAATGTTCTGACTTCGAATCTACGGTTATCTCCCTTTTATCCTAGCTCTGTTTTTTTTTTAAATGTGCTTTTTATGACATAAAATTTGATGAAGCGTGAGTACATTTTTCATTCCGAAAATGCCCATCCCCCCCAAAAAAAAGTTTGGGAAGCACTAGATTAAATAGATGGATTTCCTAACTTTGTGTTTCAGCCAGTCACAGTATATTTCAGCCCGTCAAAAATTCATAACTGTGAAAAAGACAAAGGGAAGCTATCATCTTTCCCCCAAAGTCATAGCAACTCTTATTTAAAAAAGAAAAGAAAAGGAATCTGTGGAGAGCCGTGATCATAGTGTATCATGATCGCCTACACCCTGATGGGATATAGTATTTAAAAAAAATAAGAACACATTGAGAAGAGGACAATATATATTTCTTTAATCATATCACTCCAAGAAAGGCGATAATGCCACTAAGATGCAAAGGTTACTGGGATTGGAAGAGAATGAGAAGAGTTAATAAAGAGAAAGGGTAATAAAAGAACAGGTGCATGAAGATACAAGATGACAAATGGCATTGCAGGAAGTAGGGAAGTAAGAAATTGAAAGAGAGTTCCACATGCGAAAAGTGCGAGAAAAGAAACTATCAGAATAGAACTTATGGTTACATCTTCGTAGTTTAACAGTAAAACGAGGAGACTTATTAGCCAATCTAGTATCACGCTTAAATCCACGCACTCGAGGAGAATTCGTTGTAACAACTGCCATGGAAATATTTATGAAAATGACAGAAGGGAGCTTACGGTTAAATCACGCTGAAAACACCGGTTCTCGTTCGATCACCGAAGTTAAGCATCGTAGAGCCAGGTCAGTACTTAGATGGGGGACCGCTTGGGAACACCTGGTACTGTAAGCCCCCAAAGTCCAACCCTTACCTCACAGTCGGTGGGGGGTGTAAACGGTAGTGTCAGAGCTATGCCGTCCGGAACTTCGTTCCTGGTAGGGCCACCAAGGCGGACAGGTCTGACACACACGCCGGCTAACAAGGGCTCTGGTGAAAATCCAAGGAGCGTCTGCATCGGCAACCGGCGGCTTCTGGTCGTTCCTGTCTCTGCGTCTGTGGGAACCCCGCGGCAAGCAAGAACGTTATCCGAGTAGGCCTGGGTACCCTACTTCTGTAATTTATCCCAAGAATCTTCTTCTCACAACAGGAAGAAGCCGGCTCAATCCGCCCAGGGTGAATGCCGCATCACACACACACACATCACGACGGCGCAGAAAGTGACTGAAATCGAGATGCCAGGTCAAGACCGATAACATTACAGATTCTTCTTTGGATTTTGTCGAAAGCAACAGACCAGATATAGCAGAAATATTAAATGCACAAACGAATGGTAGATTTATAAACGTGCAAAGTAGATTATGACTAGAAATCTTGCTTGGTACGACACAATGAACCAACCTTCTTAGCAGCAGACACCATAACTGATTCAGTATAAACACTCGACTAACACGAAGTCGAGCGGTTATTAGTTTAGCTATGTGCCATACATGATACATGCGTAGGCGATAATGCATCTTTCGATACATGACTGACGAGGTAGATTTTTTTTCTCGCAGCAGGTGGCCATTTTTTCTGCGGTAGACCAGTTGCCATCCAAGGCTATATAACTCGGTCTTTCCTGCTATTTATACCCTGCTATTGGGGAGAAGAAGAGGATTCATACTTTTCCCAATGGTATTAGCTCGCAAGTGAATTTCACTCAGTTATGTGCCATGCGTGATATATGCTTATGCGATCATGTATCTTTCGATACATGACTAACGAGGTAGATTTTTTCCCGCAGTAGGTTGCCATTTCTTTCATGACCAGTTGTCATCCAAGGCTATAGAACCCGGTTTGTCTTGCTATTTACTCCATAGCTGGAGAGGAGAAGAGGATTCATACCTTTCCCAAGGGTATTATTTTACATTGTTCTTACATAATACGTTAGTAAGAAGGGAGTTCCATTCGGACAACTTCTTCCCGAGAGCCGTTGCTTCGTGAAATAGACCCCCGAGGGGATGCTTGCCTGAACACTACGATCTTAAAATCTTCAAATCTAGTGTTAACCGTTATCTTCCCCACATGCCTTCGTGATCAGCTCTTTTTACCTCCTCCTCTTACGTTCATATAACAATCTAATTCAGTAATGCCCTCATTCTTAAAAAAAATCACAGTATTGATATGACAGGGTAGGTCTATGGAGATTTTATGTGTCCCGAGGCATCAGATAGATAGATAGATAGATAGATAGATAGATGATAGATAGATAAGACCGGGATAGATAGATAGATAGATAGACATAGATAGATAGATAGATGACCGGGATAGATAGATAGATAGATGATATATATATATATATATATATATATATATATATATATATATATATATATATATATATATATATATAGATAGATAGATAGATAGATAGATAGATAGATAGATAGATTTACTCCTGATTCCGGAGTAAGTTTGATCAATGATATGGACACATTGGCGGCTAATGCCAAAAACGACCTTCACACAACAATCTAATTCAGTAAAGCCCTCGATCTTAGGCCTGGATAAACAATTGGTAAAAAAAAAATCACAGTATTAATATCTCAGGGTAGGTCTGTGGACATTTTTATGTATCCCGAGGCACCAGATAGATAGATAGATAAGACCATGATAGATAGATAGATAGATAGATAGATAGATAGATAGATAGATAGATAGATTAACTCCTGTCTCAATAGTAAGTTTGATCTGCCCGATATGGATACATTGGCGGCTAATGTCAAAAACGACCTTCAGTCTGTTGTCAACTGGGGCAAAGAATATGTGGCATGTGACATCCGTTGGTCTCAAGCGACCATGGATCTGCGCCCCCAAAATTATGTCTCAGCTGCTGATGGCGCTATCTCTGTGATGGCTGTACAGATTCCTAGAGGAGTGACAGTCTTGACTGCAATCAGTGCATGTGAAGACGCTCTCCCCTGCTGTTTTTTCGTTCCTCCGAGCACGTTTCACCCCGGCCGCAAGCCTCGGTTTCTTTTCTCTTAGCTCCAGCCCTCGGTGTAAATCGTGAGTGATCGTTGGCAACGTCTTTTTACCTCTCAATGTCTATCGCCCTCATGTCACTTTTGCAGACGTCCTTGAGGCGACGGTGGCAGTTCTCCATACAGAAGAACCTTCAGAATCCTCACATCAGTAGACTGTTACCTTCTGTGTTTTGCCGTCGTGGTGCGGCGGCGCTGGAGTGTTCTCTCCAGGGCGCAGGCCTCGGCAGTGATTTATAAGAGATCGACGGTTGCTCATACAGCACATCTCCCCTCTTCACTCCACCAATATTGTCCAAGAGAAAGATAGAGCCCAATACAGCTTGGCACTGGCATCGTCGCAGGAATTGCCAAAATAAAGTGGAATATAACACCAGAATGTCTTCGGGACACTGGCACTGGATTTATCCTCAGGGCTTACTCTCGAAGCTTTTCCCATGATTGGATGTTGCTGCAAGGCAGCAGAGTTTTACTTCATTTATATGGACTACCCATCTGGGTTGAGTTTCATTTACTCGAAGTATAGATGCATAAACACACACACACACACACTACATGCACAGACAAACACACACAGAAGCATACATATATACACACACATAAACACACACATATATATTATATTGGATGTCGGTGTAAGCACTTCGTCATCAAATGTACCAATTTAAGAATTATTAAATTTTTAAAAAATGATAATAATAGAAATCAATAAATAAGTAAGAAAAGAATAAAAGTATAGAACTATGAAATATACGAGAATTTGTTTTTGTTAAAAATATATGAAAAATAAATAATAGAAGAAATTGACTATTCTGAAGAAAATAAAAACAAAATAGCGTTACAACTCGAAACCCTTTTCCTAAAAATTTAAAAATACATCCTCGTTCATAAAAAAATATCACCTTTATAATCAGTAAATACAAAAAGAATGAATTAATAAAAGTATTGACAAATATTGTTAAAATGTTTCAATGATAAATGATAGAGAAAGAAATCGACGATACTGAACCAATAGTAAAAAACAAAAACAAACATTACTACTCGAAATGCTTTTCCTACAATTTCGAAAATTACGTCTTCTTTCATAAAAAGAAGGAAAAATACGTGTAAATATAAATAGAATAGACTTATTTATGCCAATGTATAAATAACTTAACAAATACAATGTATCAAATGTTTTTAATATAATAATGCTTAGTGAGACATCTATGTATAAATATGGCAATTTCTGTCTTTTTGTTTGAATCAAGTTGGTGCCTAAACCTGTGAACCAATATTGATGAAACTTTGCATACATATTAAACTAACATATAGTTTGTTACTAGGTTAATTGTTTGTTTTTTTTTTTCTGTTTTTTTTTTTTATATAAAAATCTATGATGGGATTGCTAGAGCCACTAGATAGCAACTCGATGCCGGGGCTTACGTACACGGTTCACTGTGTTTAACATTTAATTCAATATGAAATTAATTCGTTTCAAATTTCGCCATGTACATCATTAAATTCGCCAGGTTCAGATTTATTAAATACAAAGAAATTGTCTCGATCCATTTGGTCATTTAAACGTAAAATAACATTTAAATTGAGCTTATTTGCGAAAAGAAACTTTACCTAAGCTCATATTTCAAACTATCCGTGAAAAGTTATATCGTAGTTGTGGTTGCTGTTGTCGTCTGTGGAACAACAATCTGTTTTAAGGACATTTTCGTGCTATACAACATCTGTATATTTAGCTGTGAAAAATCCAATTGTCTTTAATTGATATGAGCTACGTACCCTTCCCCGTTAAGATTTACTTTTAATTACGGAGGGTTAATTAGACGACATGAATTCGAATCGCGACTAAAAACGAAACCGAAATCAAAATGTTGTGGATTCCGGGATGAAATCCGGTACCAATAAATAACAAACGCCAAGAATGAATATAGAAAAATAATGTATTAACGTAATAATACAAACTGTTAATACAGGTTAGTAGTTCCAGGAATACGGTTAGTAGCAAAATTTCTATACAGTCTTTGGTATTGTAGTATCGCTGTATATCTTCTTACTGAGTCTACGTGCTCGCTCAATGTGACTCTTGATCGCTACGTTCGTTCGGTCTGTCTGTTACCTTCACCCTCTGTTGCTCTCGTCTCTCGGGTCTTCACGTAGTAGTAATATATGTATATACTGGGCGAGTTCATTTGTGTAAAAAGGGTGAACCCCTCAACACCCCCCTCCTTAGATCCCTTTTTGAGGGGAGTTAATATCTTTTCCTTTTTATGATCGATAATAAGAGGCTCTGTAATTTTTCTTTTCGTGCTAGTCCTTCTGATTTCTGTCTCTTCTTGTGGTCTTTGAATCTCAAACGCTTCAAAGATCACCTCCATCTCGAATCATCATTTTCAGCGGGTGACGAGCTTGGCTCTTCAACCCGTCTTTTTTGTATTTGGTCAATATGTCTTCTGTGGGTAAATTTGTCTCCTTGTATTGTGTACATCACGTTTCCTAGTCTGTTAATTATTGTACCTGGTTCCCAGTAAGTCATATTGTTCCTAAACATTCTGAAATAGACCCGTTCTCCAGGTTTGAATGATCTCTTGAGTACTATAGGTGTATGCCGGTTTTTATTCCCTTATCAAACACAGACCCTATTTTTCGAGCAAACATCACTTCTGCTGGTGAAAGACCAGATGGTGTGTTCCCGTTTGGTGTTATTCTGTATACTTGGAGGAATGCTGTATAGCTTTTTCTGTCGGTATGTCTTCTTCTTTTTTCAAAGCTATCTTTAGTGTGTCTACAAATCATTCAGCTTGTCCGTTCGACCGCGGGTAATACGGAGCTACAGTGTATCACAAAAGTGAGTACACCCCTCACATTTCTTCAAATATTTAAGTATATCTCTTCATGGGACAGCACTGAAAAATTTATCTTTTGACACAATGAAAAGTAGTCTGTCTGCAGCATATATAACAGAGTTAATTTCTTTTCCACTCAAAATATAGCCATTAAAAGCTAAATCCCTGGCAACAAAAGTGAGTACACCCCTAAGAAACTACACCCCTAAAAAGTGAGTACACTCCTAAGAAACTACACCCCTAAATGTTTAAATTGAGTACTGCTTTTCATTTTCCCTCCAAAATGTCATGTGACTCATTAATGTAACTATGCCCATGTGTTCATGGGGAGCAGGTGTATTCAAATTTGTAGTGCAGCTCTAACACTCTCTCTTACCGGTCACTGAAAGTTCCAACATGGCACCACATGGCAAAGAACTCTCTGAGGATCTTAAAAAACGTATTGTTGCACTACATAAAGATGGCCAAGACTACAAGAAGATTGCCAACACACTGAAACTGAGCTGAAGCGCAGTGGCTAAGATCATCCAGCATTTTAAAAGAGCAGGGTCCACTCAGAACAGGCCTCGGGTAGGTTGTCCAAAGAAGCTGAGCGCATGTGCTGAGCGTCACATCCAAATGCTTTCTTTGAAAGATCTGCGTAGGAGTGCTGTTAGCATTGCTGCAGAGATTAAAGAGATTGGGATTCAGCCTGTTAGTGTTCAGACCATACGCCGTGCACTACATCAAATTGGTGTGCATGGCTGTCACCCCAGGAGGAAGCATCTTCTGAAGGCAATACACAAGAAAGCTCGCAAACAGTTTGCTGAAGATATGTCAACAAAGCCCATAGATTACTGGAACCAAGTCCTATGGTCTGATGAGACGAAATTTAATTTGTTTGGTTCTGATGGCCTTAAGCATGTGTGGCGGCGACCAGGTGAGGAGTACAAAGATAAGTGTGTCATGCCTACAGTCAAGCATGGTGGTGGGAATGTCATGGTCTGGGGCTGCATGAGTGCTGCAGGTATTGAAGAGTTACATTTCATTGAGGGAAACATGAACTCCAACATGTACTGTGAAATACTGCAGCAGAGCATGATCCCCTCCCTCCAGAAACTGGGTCGCAGAGCAGTGTTCCAGCATCACAATGACCCCAAACACACATCCAAGACAACCACTGATTTACTGAAGTGACTGAGGGTAAAGGTGATGGACTGGCCAAGCATGTCTCCAGACTTGAACCCAATAGAACATCTTTGGGTGATCCTCAAGCAGAAGGTGGAGGTGCGCAGAGTCTCAAATATCCGCCAGCTCCGTGACGTCGTCATTGAGGAATGGAAGAGCATTCCAGTGACTACCTGTGAAGCTCTGGTAAACTCCATGCCCAGGAGAGTAAAGGCAGTTTTGGATAATGATGGTGGCTACACAAAATATTGACAGTTGACCTGTTGTATGTTAATATTGACAACTTTTCCTAAGGGGTGTACTCACTTTTGTTGCCAGGGATTTAGCTTTTAATGGCTATATTTTGAGTTATTTTGAGGGAAAAATAAATTAACTTTTCATTGTGTCAAAGTGTCATTTTGTCAGTGTTGTCCCATGAAGAGATATACTTAAATATTTGAAGAAATGTGAGGGGTATACTCACTTTTGTGATACACTGTATCTTAATATGCTTTACTTGGTAAGTCTCACAGAATTCTTGGAAGTTATTTGAGGTGAATTGTTTGCCATTATCAGTTACTAAGCAGTCCACGACGCCGAATCTCGCGAATAATTCATGCAGACAATTTATAGTATTTTCCGTTGTCGGTTTTTTAAATCTGAAGACTTCTGGCCACTTACTAAAGCTATCTACCGTTA